AAACTTTTTACACTTAAAACCAGCACAGGACTGCTAGTCAAAAGCACAGAACACTAACACTGAGTAAGTGTCAGCTTACTGGGTAAGCTGAGCTGGTGCACCAGACTGCCCAAAGACAACCAATTTCACTGTGAGTCCTGAACACCTGACTGACAAGAAGGGAAGTTACAGAAACCCACTGAGGCCACTAAGAGGCTAGCCCTCTTCACAGCTCAGGCTTGAGCGCTGTGTTCTGAGCACGCAGCGCTCAGCACGCTTGCTCTGCACGACTCAGCAGCGCAGACATGCCGAGCCTTCTAACAGCTAGGAAGCAAGCACAACATTACTGCATGACAGCTGATTCTCGTTTCTCCAAGCTTGACAGAATGTCCAAATCAAGGCAAGTGACAACAGTGGAAACAGGCATACACTACTGGTATTCACTCTCACAAGCCAGCTTTTCCTACATGCTCTTTTTGATAAGTGGGTGAAGCACAGTGCTAAAGCAAAAGCAACACGAACTTGCAGGGCAGATAAGCCTGTAATAGGAGGCTGAGAGATAGGGCAGGATGTCAAGAACAGGAAGGGCATGGAACAGACGGTTCAGCCCTCCCCTGGGCTCAGTGCATGCAGCCGAGTGAGAAACAATTGCAGGAGCCTGCTCGTGACCCAGGAGTTCCTTTAGAGTCGTGCACAGAAAGGGAAGAAAAGGCCCTGGAGAAACAGGAGTTCAGAAAAGGAAATTCCAGACATTTTAGCATTCCACCTAGGGGCAGAGGCATCAGAGATTGCCCTGGGCAACAGAGAAGGGATAGAAATACAGCTGCTCGGCGGACTTGCACGCCATCCGGACTCGCTCCACAGAGCGTGGGACAATCTAAAACATACAGAGCAGTGTCAGTGGTGGCTGGCACATAAGGGAGAAAAGTAATACGCATAGTCCAGTCCACACTTTCAGCATCAGCGTGACTTCATTAACTCTTTCAAGTACTCCCCCTAAATACAGACTCTTACATGAGTTAGCGTCATCCCAACAATCACTAGATAAAACCATCCTACTGGATAAATGCTTCATAAATAAAGAGAACTTGCCCTTGCAGGCCTTTTGCTGGTCCATTCATTCATTACCTTCCAATGCCTTCTAGTCTGACATAAAAAACAGAAGCTGAAACTAAACAGATAATACTAAACTAAATCAGAGCTTACTAACGAAGCCCCAAACTACCCATCGCATACAGCTCTGTTACAGGAAGGGACACGGCTGCATTCCTTTGCCTGCAAGATGCAAAGGTGACCTGCTGCAGGTCTCTACTGCTGGGGAGCCCCACACAAGTAACTTACGTCTCTAGCAAGACTGATAGAGACGAAGAATGAAATCATGGTAGCTTGAGTCTGTACACTGATATGCAAACTGGGTGCTGCGTCAGGCTCTTAGCAGGATGATAACAAGGCCTTCAGTTTGCAGTTTGAAAGCTCTGGTACCGGAGTCACTTTTCATGTCCAACTGACTATATCCTTGTCATGAAAGCCTCAGTTACAGTACTCGCCCGCCAACCGTACCTCTCCTATATGCTTAAAGTACTACTGCTGATTATTTTGACGGACCTTTTAAAAGGCAAAACACGAAATTAGCGTGCACCCGAAACAACTGCTCCCTTGTGGCAAGCGTGGATGCGATCTGGCCTCTAAACGAGGCAGCTCGAGGAAGGGGGGGCTTAGTCACAGCGCCAGGCAAGGGCACGCTTGTGGCCGCACCGCGGCACCCAGCC